GCGTCCACTGTCGTGCCAGCCCTGTCCCCTGCTCCTCACTCCCACCCCTGGCCGGAGGAAGGGGACAGAGAGATCCAGGAGAGGGGCTAGGGGCACCCTTGGGAGGGGTGCGAGACTTTCCGGTCCAGAATTGCAAACGTACCTGGGGGAGGAGGAGGAGGACTACGTGCCGCCACCTGGGCCTACCTGTTGAGATGGTGCTTGTACACGCCTGTGCCCCTACTGTGAGAAGCTTGTGAGCTGGCACGTGTGGGTGTGGGGGTCCCACGTGGATCGCTGGAGCCTGGCTGCCAGGACGAAACCTCCAACCCTACCACTCTGCTGGCTGCGCCCCCAAGACCAAGTCATCGACCCTCTCTGAGCCCCTAATTTCTCAGCACCAAACGGGAATCAAATCCAGTGCGTTGGGAATGGAGAGGGGCTACTGTGGGGGGACGTAGGTCCCTGCTGGGGGTGACAGTGATGTTCTCTGGTTCGATCATGCCAACACCAGGCACCATCGGATGGATGGGCACTTGGAAAGGCTCAGCTTGATGACAAGTGAATGGCCTCTCACAGCCGCAGCTATGACAGGGGGAAGGAGATTGGCATCTCCACCGAGATGGCAGTCAGCTCCCAACACACAGCCGAGCACAGGGTCAGTGCTCCAGAGAGAAGACCACACAGGGCAGGATGGGTGGGGGACATCCCAGGGCCTGTGTCCATCTCCCCCAGGCCCTGGCACCCAGGCCAGGTCCAGCAGCTAAGCTGCCTCAGGACACTTGGCTGGGGCTCCTGGGTCCACGACTTCCTGCTGCCATCTTGCTGGGGGTGGGGGAGGGGTCCCTGGAGAGGAGGCTGCCCACCGTGGCAGGCGGCCGCCTTGGCCACGCGCGCTCCCCCGTCTTGCAAAGTGCTCATATTTTCCATGTGCGGCAGACCGTGAATTCACCTTCATACTAGTTACAGGGCTATTTAGCTTCTCCTGACACTGACAACCACCAAACTTTAATTCGACGCTTGGCTTCTTCCTGCTGTGCCCTCTGCCCACCCCCCAATCCCTGCGAGAGGATGGGAAGGGCCGAGGTCCAGCCCCTTGCCCACGCCTGCCCTGCAGAGTGACGGAGTGATAGGAAGCCTGGGCGGGTGGTCAGAAGGAGAATTTGATGGACAGTGGGTGGAGGAGTGGCTGGGAGGGAGGAGGAGGGGGGGGCGGATGCAGCACCAGCACCATCGGGGAGCGTCTGTCCGGCTAGGGCCTGACATTCATGCATTCAACCTGACACCCCTCCTGTCTTGAAGGAAGACCCGCTGACTGGCTGCCAGTCTGAGGGCTGGTAACCCCGGCCAAGACAGATGGGGGCCAGGCCTCTCTGAGCTCCCAGGACCAAGGCTGGCACGGAGCTGGTGCCTCTGCCCTACCGCTGGACAAGCAGATGCTCAGCTGGCAAGCGGCCCAAGGGAGCCGCTGCCCACAGCCGTTCTCTCCTGTCTGCCCCCCAAGTCAAATTTCTGAGGGGATAGAGACTCTTTGACATCCCTTACCACACACCCAGGTCACACGCCCCCAGGACTGGTGTAAGGACACAGGGCCAAATCTGGCACCTGAGTGCCTGCCCACCTGAGGAGCTGTTGCCGCGGCATCTCTCCCATGGCCAGTCTTTGTCCCTTGGCTCAGAAAGGCCCCTCCCTTCAGTCTCCCCTGTGCTCTGACACACCCTTTCCAGGAGCGGACCAAGTGCTCAGAAGGTCCATGGAGATCTCAGACTCGTCCTCGCAGCCTCCTGGTCACCGTCATCCCCCCAGCACCTTCCAGGTTTGTGCCGAGAGCTGTCCAGATGGGATCGCAGGATCCGTATCACAGCATCCAAGCTGGTCCCATCGGCCACTCGCTACACAGAAAGGGGCTCAGGAGTGGGCAACACAGCGGGGACTGGGCACGGAGATCAGAGGGTGCATGTCCACTTCCTCCTGGCCCCACTCTGTGGCCCAGCCCTACCAGAGGGGGGAAGGGCCCCCGGTGGCCTGGGGCAAGGAAGACGTCAATGGCCCGAAGGGAAAAGGGGCTTGTTGACTGCAAACTGTCCATTATGGCTCAGATTATAAGCATATTGCGCAGGGCTCTCTGCACGATGCCGGGGAAATCCAATACGCTGAAAGGTTAATGCAATCAATTAGGGTGACAAGGAAGTGAAGGAAAGCCTTCCGAGTGGATGGAAAGGAGAGCGGGGGACAGACAGCGGGAACGCGCCGTGGAGTGGGAGGGGGCGGCATGGGTAGTGGGGAGCCGAGGAGGGAAAGGAACTAGTGGGGGGTGGAGGGGAGCAAAGAGAGGGTCGCAAGACCCAAGGAGGCCATGGACAGAGCCGGAGAAGAAGGTCCGTGAGGAATGGCCTTCGCCCGGGGCTCCAGGCCTAGCGCATTTCAGGCCTCTGACAGCTTCCTCTCGGCCGCTCTCTGGGCTCCCAGCCTGGTTCCCACAGGAGCTCGCAGCAGCAGGACCAGTGGCCAGAGTGACCCCAGAGCCTGCTCAGGCAGAACTGCCTCCACCCCCAGCCCCATGAATCCAGGCCTAGATTCATGCCTCGGCTTTGCTTCACTCTAGGCACGCCCACCCCACCCAGGGAATACTACACCATAAAAACAAACCCAACTCAAACCCAAATCCACTGCCATCAAGTCGATTTGACTCACAGCGACCCTATAGGGCAGCATAGAGCTGCCCCTGTGGGCTCCTCACTGGATTTCATGGAAGCAGACAGCCCCACCTTTCTCCCACCACTCCTCCTTGCCTTCCTCAAACCATCCCTGCTTCTCTTTGCAGCAGCCTGCAAAGCGGCCAGCACCCCTCATTTCACAGGTGGAGCGATTGTACACCCCAGGGCCCCTCGGCCAAAGTGGTGGGCCCGTTGACAGTCCCCTGCCCATGGGTACATACACGCACCATCCATCCACAGTGCTCCCTGGAATTAGGAGCCTTGATTTCCCCACCGAGACAGACTCAGAACGGGGGTGGGGTGGGGTGGGGCAGAGGGAGGGAGGGCTGACACACAAGCACCCACGATCTTTCTGAGCCTGAGCTGGGCACTCTCGGCCACTTACGTGTCCCAACCACCCTGCAAAGTTGGTCTGCTTCTCACCTTACACCAGAGGAGAGTGTGGATCTGACGCTAAAAGATTCCCCGGAGGCTGTAGGAGAGCTCGGAAGACAGGGAGGGGGCTGAGCAGAGAAGCAGCAGGGATCTCTAGGCAGGATGAGGCCAGGACAGGAGAGAGAAAGTGACCCCCCAGATAGATGAGCGCACAAGGTGACAGCCTCCAGCCTCATCAGGCCTGGGGCTCTCTGAGCAACTCCAGAACCAGGGCATAGGGCAGGGGCCTGACTCTCCAGACCAAGGAATGGCAAACTTTTTCTATAAAGAAAACAACCAACCAAACAAAAACCACCCGCTACCATTGAGACAATTCTTCTGTAGGCCAAATACAGGTTTCTAAGACTCTAACTCTTTGAGAGCACACAGCCTTATCTTTCTCTCTTGGAGTGCCTGGTGAGTTTGAACCACGGACCACTAACCCAATGCCTAGTCCACTTTGTAAAGAGCCCTGTAGGAAAGGCTTCCCTGCTGTAGCCCCTTAACTCTGATTGTCGTGCAAAAGCAGCCACAGACCACACGCCACCCAAGCAGTGTGGCTATTGTTTGGATAAAACTTTATTTACAGGAAGCCGGCCACTTTGGGCCCCCCGCAGGCTGCGGTTAGTCATCCCCTACCCCAGAGAGTGGACACACCTTTGAGACCCTGGGGCGTCTGGCTACAATCCAATGCCAGAAGATACCCTCCAAGTGGAAGGCAACCAGAGCTGGCATGGAGGGCACCAGGGGCTTGGGGAAGCCAGAAGCCCAGGGTAGAAGCAGAAGGAAACAGCCGCCCGGGCCCCAGCGATTCCTAGCACCCTAAAAGCCCTCCACTGCACTGCAGTTTCTCATGCTTCAGAAGCAGGGCTGGAGGTGCCTAGCACCCCACATTCCATGATCTTTGACTCCCTGAGAGAAGGGAGGAGGACTGGATGGGGGCTTGGGGCCCAGCTGGCCAGAGCAGCCGGGACAGTGCTGTAACCAGGGTGGTGCGGCGGCAAAGGGAGGAATCCACAGGCCCCAGCGAGAGCGCAGGGCGAGGGCCGGGCCTGCCCTACACCCGGCCGCCTCTGATCACGTTTTCAGGGCCACTGCCCGCCAGGCACAGACAATACTGGGGGGAGCCTTTGAAGTCCCAAAGAGATGCCGCGGTGGGAGCCCGGCAAACGGCCTCCCTTTCCCTGTCCGCCTGGGGGGAAGGGAGCCGCCAGGACAAAACCCGGAGCCGGTCGCAGCCGGGGCCCCAAAACGCGAGAGACAAAGGGAAAACAAACAGGTTTGGAGCCAGGCGCACGGTGCCGCGTCTGTCCCCCGCCCTGCCGCGCTGGATGATGGATGGCTACAGCCAGCCAGCTCGCCCGCCGCGCAGGCCCCGCTATTTACATAACACTGGCGTTCCACCGGTCACCTCTGACACCGCGCGGCCTGGGGCCGAGGCCCTGTGGCCCTGGGGCCTGGGGACCCTGCTGCCTGTACCGACCAGACTAGGACTGGACAGCCCTGCGTGCCCAGCTGCAGGAGCCCGGGCCGGGCACAGGCAAGACCCAGCAGCCCCCTGTCAGCCTCAGGGCTCCCATCCTTCCCTTGCCAGCCTCTCAAGGAGGAAGGGGGGCCACTGGGACCAGGGAGAGGGTCCTTGGTTCCCATGTCCATCTGTGAGGTTCTCAAAGCTTCGGGGAGGGCAACGAGCACCTGAGAACCACTGCTTGGGCACTACATCTCCCAGACAGAGTGCACCCAGCCCACTCCCGGTCTGGCACCCATCTTCTCTGCTCGTCTAGGACTGGCAGTGGGTACTGTCCCCTCTTTCTTTTCCTCCCTGGGCACCCGGCACGCCCGGCCCCAGCCAGGCGACATTGGTCATCAGGAAGGGGGCTCAGGCCTTACCTTGTACTGGATCCTCGAGGCTCCTCGCAACCGCTTGGGGTGTCACTTCATCCTGGGGGCGGGGGTGGGGGTGGGCAGAGAGGAACACCGTTAGGCTGCAGACCTTCAAGGAGGGAGGACCTGACCCCCCTGAACACCCGCCATGCCTGCTGTGTGGCCCTGCCGGGCCTCCAGACCAGGGGTGGATGGCCCAGGAGGCCCAAAGAGGCCAAAGAGCCCAGAAGAGCGGAGCTGGCGTGGATACAGGCCCATTTACGCAGTCTGAGAAAATGCAAGCCCAGGAGGTGTGGGGCACAGTGGAAACGGGTCTTCAGGATGCCCCCGGCTGAACCCAGAGAGGCGGCCATGCCAACCACACTCCCCCCAGGGGGTGTGCAGGGGTGCTGACTGCAGATCCGGCACGCTCCTTGTGTCAGGACATCGTTCCCCTTGGGGACGACAGCAGGACACAGCAGCCTTCCTCCCCTGGTTCTGTGCCCCCCTTACCCCTGCCCAAAGCCATCAGCTATCATATGCGGGCAAAGGGGCGCCAGGGTCCAAGGCACCAATGACCTCAGTCCCGTAGGGGTAGGCTGCCTGACAACAGCACCACCCACTCTGGGGTGAGACCGATGAGTGGTGGCCACACACGCTGGGTGTCCGGGTAGGAAGACCCTTAGCCAACACCAGTTAGCCCTGTAGTCAGCTCCAAGCCCTCCTCCCTCCTGCAGAGACCAAGTGTGGGGAGTCCTGGGCCTTTGGACTTGGGCCCACCTGCCCAGGCCTGAGCCGTGCCCGTTCCCTGGGCTCAGAACTCACCCCAAAGGGGGTGGGTGTGGGTGGAGTATTTGTTTATTGCCTTTTCCCCTCCTCCCTCCCTCATTTGAGGCTTATCAATGATGCCATAGGAAACGTCCCCCATTTCCATAGGCTGTGTAATCCCCAAATCAGATTGGGGGCATGGCGGGAGGTGAAGTGACCTTGGACTGGGCTTCCGGAATGCCACCCAGTCCTGCCGCCCGCTTGATCGGTTCCCAGGACACAGTTAGACAGATAACACTAATTGTTCTTGACGTGTCCACTGAGGAGGGGCTGGCCCTCTGCTCACTCTCGCTGTCTTCGATGGGCTCTTGGGCCGAGGGAACCCACAGGGGCGGAGTCCACCCTGCCAGATGCTGGGTTGGGCGGCTCGGGGTCTGGAGGGACCGGAAGGCTGGGGAGGGCTGCCCCGTGAGCCCCCGACTGCCCACCTGATGGATGTGTCCTGCCCAGCCTGTCCAGGTAGTCGGAGGATGGGGCTTCAGAGAGCTAGGAGGACCACTGAGATGGGAGGGGGGGCATCAGAGAGGAAAGGGGGGTGGGGGAGGAAAGGCATTGGAGAGGAAGGATCGGATGAAGTGGAGGGGCAGGGAGGGCACGGGCCTGTGGGCAAGGGAGGGGCAGTCAACCGTGTCCACTGGGCCGGCAGGTGTCAGAATTCGGGTCCCACGGCCCGAGGGTTCTGGCTGGGCTGTCCTCATCACCCTGTCCATCCTGTCCATCCACTCCACTCTACCAGACTGAGAACTGCCGGGTGCCCCGGCCAGCCTCCCTCGGACCCCACAAAGCCCCCCAACTACACAACTCCAGTATCTCCCTTCTACCACCTTTCTCTCCCCTCCCCTCCTCCCCGGCAACTGTGCATTTATTAATTCATGAGGCACTAATTAGTTCTTTGTTTAATTTTGTGTTAAACAGACTGACCGGAATGATAACGACTTGCCGCGCGGTGTTGATGTCCCCAACCACCCCTGTTTCCCGACAACCAGGGAGCACGGGAGACCAGAGCGCTGAACCCAAATCCCCCAGCAGTTGCACTTCATTAAGTCAAAATGTGACAAGCAGCTTAGAGAGCAACCCGCAGATCTGATCACACAAGAACTCTATGCCAGGAAACTTTCTAGGAGTTGGGGTGGGGGTGGGGAGAGGGGTGGGAGGGGACCCGGGCTCTTGGCACAGGGACCAGGGGACGAGCAGGGGGTGGGGTGCTGGTGGGACCCAGGACGCTGATGGATTCCCGAAGTCCGAGGGGACCTGGGGAGTTCCCAGGAGTTCAACTGTGTGTTGATCCTCCAGCCTGGGGCTCGGCTCCCATCTCTGCGTCTGTGGGGGCCCAGGAGGGTGAGTGATGGGGTAGCCCCAAGCCTGGCAAGGGACCGGAATGATGCCAGGACTCAGGAGGGGCTCCTTAAGGCCAGGGCAGGCGTCCGGAGCCCAGAAGACCCAGAGGGGGGCAGGGCCCTGCGCTCCGGAGTCTGAAGTGAAGTCAAGCTCTCTGGGCTGAGAAAGAAAAGGAAGCCTCGCTCCCATGCCTGGGGACCCGGGGTGGGGGTGGGGCCCTCTGGCAGAGAGTGCCTACGAAATGCCTACATACCCACACTGCCTCCTACCCACCCACCCACCCACCTGTCGGCCCACCCATTCTCCTTCATCCCACACTCCCGCCAGAATACTAGGGACCCAAACACTCTAAGAGGCAATTTAACAACAGAAGGGGGCCTGGAGCTTTGGAAGGCAGCCCCCTGGGACCATGACAGCAGCCTGTGACCCCTTACCCCGCCCTCGGTCCACGTGAAACAGGCAGGACCCAGTATTGTCTCCTCCACCGTGGCACCCATGAGAATGAGGGGTGCGTCAAGACCAAACCCTGCCCTGGACTAAGGCCCCTGCCCACGGTCAGCGAGCCCTGGGCAATGGCTTCTGCCCAAAGGACAGCGTGGCAGGGGGTGTGAGTACCCCAGGAGCTGCGAGGGCACACGTGAGCCCGGCGCACAGGGCCCTGCAGCCCTCTCCCCACCGGCCACTGCCCCGCCCAGGTGTGGCCTGGCCCTCCCTTGGAAGGCCCATCCAGCCAGCCGGCCCACTGGCTTCGGGGACAGCCTTGCCCTGGTCAGTGTTGGAGTGTGGTGGTCCCCACTTGAGTCTGGCAGCCCTGAGCTGGCTTCTGTTAATTTGCTGTCAGGCTGCCTAAGCAAACCAATTAAAACTAATCATTAATTATAAAAGGGAGTGAGGAGAGGAGAGGAGAGGAGAGGAGAGGAGAGGAGAGGGCGAAAGGCGGAGACGGGAAGGGGACCAGTGTTGGTGGGACAGACAGGGAAGGCCCAGGGCCAGCAGGAACTCCAGGTGGGGGGCAGTGGGCAGGAGGGGCCAGGGACTCCTTGGGGCTGGAGGGTGGGCTGCAGGAAGGTGGAGAGGGACCCTCACAGGCAAGCAGTGAGGTTAAGGCAAGCGGGGGACCGGGGGAGGGAAGGTGGAAAGCCAGTCCTGGGGCAGAGTGCACACACAGGTCCTCTTTGGTTAGAGCCACCAACTACCCAGGACAGAGCCCTGGGGCCTCAGAGCACCTCACCCAGAGCCCCCCAGCTCCATATGAAGGAGGCTTGGCTGATTTTGCAGCCGGGGCCAGGCTCCAGGCCTCCTCAGCTCCTACCTGCTCCCCAGTCCTCCCGGCCTAGGAGGAGACCAGAGGCAGCTGCTGGAGACCCCCTACCCCGAAATGCTGCCTCTGTCCCCTCCCCCAGCCCACCCTCTCCCCAGCTTAGCTGGGACCCTTTCACAGGGCCGGGCCATGTCAGCCAGCAGCTCCAGGAGGGGCAGGGCAGACGACAAGGGGCAGCGTCATGGAAACGGGCACTTTCCTGGGGAAATATTCTGTTTGGCCTCCTTCCTGCATTCAAGAGCTGTCAGGAACCGGAGTGAGAGTCACACTACCCCAGGACCAGGCGTGACAAAACCTATTTTCTGCCTCAAATTTGATTGATTAAAAAACTTTTTAGGAAAACCATGTTAAAAGAGTGAAGAAGAAGAGGTGCGGGGTGTGGAGGGGGGCCAAGAGTGAGCAAGTGGGAGGGAGGAATGAGGAGAGAGAAGGAAGGAAGGAAGGAGGGGCAGGCGAGAAATGGTGGGGAGGGGGGCTGGGGGCCGAGGAGCCAGGCAGGGCCACGCAATTATGCCAGAGGACACCCACAACCTGCCGAATGGAAAGGTCAGAGGAAGCCGGGACTTTTACACAGCAGTTAGCAGGACAATGAGTGGGGCGGGAGCAGTCCCCTCCAGCAGGTCACTGATCTAGACAGAGGCAGCCCCAGGGCTGGCCTGGCCTTGAGTGAGCAGCCAACACCTCCAGGCTTACAGGGGCGGGGAGGGGGGCTCGGGTGGGAACTGGAGGGACCTCCCTCCGGGTTCTTCCAAGCACAGTCTCGGTTGGGGGTTGGCACCCAAGTCATGACAGATAAGGATGGGGTCCAGAAGGCAGGCCTGAGTTAGAGGCCATCCTCGCCAGGTGCCCATGCGGCAGAGTAGAGGGCCCCGTTCAGTTTCTTGGTGCTCATTTCATGGGGGGCAGGTCACCAGGCTTTTCCTCTGCAACCAGGGGTTTAAGCGCCCACATTTCACTTTGCAGTTGAGGAATCAGCCGTGGCACCGCCTAAGAGTCAGGGGTTCAACCTGCTGCCTGAAGTAGATTCTGGCTCCCCATGACCCTCTCGAGCGGAGCCGCACGGTTCCACGCATTGTCCAGGCTGCCCATCCTCATAGACGCCCACGTTCATAGAATGCCTCCTCTCTCTCCAGTAGAATGGCTGTGTGTGGGGGTGGGTGGGTAGGGTGTTGAACGGCCAGCCCTTAAGCAGACGAGCGCTTAGCCAATGCACCACCAGGGTGTGGGGCCAGCTTTCCCACCACCTTCTCTCCAGACCTGGCTCAGCAGATGCTCGTTAGAAACTTGGCAGCGATCAGGGAAGTTACCTTGCTTGATACCACCTCCTTCCAGCTGCTGGTGGCGCCTCTGCTGGAGCAGCACCAACCCCGGACCCGCTTAGTGCCCACTCCCAGCTGGTCCGCTCTTTTCCCAATCTCAATCCCTACAGAGTGACCAGAAATTGGGTGCAGGAATAGAGGGGGGCCCCAGCACCCCGCACCCCCCAGGAAGAATGACTTCACATCCCAGCGGTATGGTGCCGTCAGACCGGAGACACCGCTGGCCTCCCCTAGGACCAGGGTCCAAGTTGGCAGCCTGGTCTGCTCTTTCTA